TATATATATATATATATATAATTGTATTATATTGATGTTTATATTATTGTGTTTATGTTATGAAGGAATATTGGGCATTAAATAAAGGAAGAGGAACAACAAAAAGAAAAAAGAAAAATAATAATTTATGTTGGGGATATCATGGAGGATGCGGGTGTATTCGTCCTCGTGCATTAGGTCTTGAGGAAGAAAAAGAAACAAAAAAAGAGGAAAAGAAGAAGGAGGAAATAACAAAGGAAGAAAAGGAAAAAGAAGAGGAACAAGAAGAAAAGGGAAGAGAGAAACAAAATAAAAAAAAAGGAGATGACATAAGAAGGAAAGAGGAAGAAGAAGGGAAAGAAAAACAGGAAAACAGAGAGGAGAAATTCATAGATAAAACAGGAAGAAAGCAGACAGATAACTTAGGTGCAGCAAACAGCAACAAAAGAAAACTACACGAAGACGCTCCTGTAGCAGTAGGAGCTGCTGCTGCATGCAGCTCAGTGTGCAAGGGGGAGGGAGAAGAAGAAGAAAATATAAAGAATAAGAAGAAAGGAGAAGAAGGGAGAGGATGGGGTCGTCCATTTAATTTTGGGGAATTATTTGATTCATTAAATGTTCATTTATGTTGGGAAGAATTGAATAAATTAAAATGGCTAAAAAATACAGATAAATCTAAATCATACAGCAACAGCAGCAACAGAAGCAGCAACAGCAGCAGCAACAGCAACAACAACAGCAGCAACAGCAGCAGCAACAGCAGCAATAATAGCAGCAGTAATGAGCATCGTCCTCCGTCTCTGCTTGAGTTATTGGAGGATTATTCAGACAATAGTGAAGGAGAAGAAGATATGGATAATCACGAAGAGGATAAGGAAAGAGATACAGAAAGAAAAGAAGAAAATAAAAAAGAAGGAAGAAAAGAAATAAGGAATAGAGAAGAAGAAAAAAGAAAATGGGAAGAAGATGGTAATATTAACTGTATTCGTATTGTACGGAGTGTACATCCACAACAATTAAGAAAATTACCTGCATGCACAACAGTTGATTCTTCTTTTATTCCTTCAAGAAAAAATAAACAAGAAAATATAATTAATAATATAAATACAATAATCAACAGTAAGAACGTCAGGACCTGTATAAGGAGTTTTTCTCTTTATATTTAATTTCTTTTCTTTTTTTATGTTAATAATATATATTAATTTCCCTTTTACCTTCTCTACTTGTATTTACCAATTGCTGTTGCTCCTTTCCTTGTAAATAGCAGCAACATACGTGCCGCATGCAAACAAGCTGTATATATGAATATGTGCTTATATGCATGTACACATATATTTACTGAATTGTTTGTATGTTTATACAAATACGCATGCATTGTCTATTGTATTAATATCTATATCTGCATGTTATAGTTAATATAAAGATGGATATTAATATGTATAAATAGGTGGATATTTAGTTGTTGAATTCCTTCAATCCTTCATACTTTTACTCTATTAATAAGAATTTCTTCTCTTCTTTTTCTTCCTTTTCTTCCTTTTGTCTGCAGATGAGTCAGAGACTAAGCACAATACCAACACCTCTAATCCTCTGCCTCCTGGCGAGGAACCCTCTACTGCTGCTGCTGCTGCTGCACCTGCTGCACCTGCTGCTTCTTCTGCTTCTGCTTCTAGTATTAGTAATAGCAGCACCAAGGATCGGGACCACATTGCAACAGCAGAGTTTCAGCGTATGTGGCCTGTATTTGTACGTATTGATGAGGAGAGTAATTTGCCAATAAAGATGAATAATTGTATGGATAAGAAAAAAGGAATTATTTTATTTATAGGTTGTCTTCTAGAAGTTTTTCATATGCGAATAAATACACAAGAAGAACTTTCTCAATGTCTTAATAGTATTGCTAATGCAGCTAAGGTAGATAATTCATCAACAACTATACAACAACATAAGGATGAACAAAGACACACAAATAATAACAATAACAATGGCAGTAACAATAACAGTAACAATATCAATAACAAGAACAATAACAGCAGCAGCAGCAACAGTGGTAACTCTCCTTCCCTCTCCCCTCCATCACAATGTGTACCAACAGAGGCACAGACAGAACACAGTAACACCAACACTGAACAAACGGACAATAATAACATGAGGGAGGCACAAGAGTCATTGTTGTCTTGTGGTGATGATGAAAAGAAGGATAGGCAGGGTAGAAATGCGGCAGAGGGGATAAGAATTCTCCCTAAGGTTCTCTTTGAGCCCGCACCTCCTAGACCTAAAATTATTTCATCTTCTTCCTCTTTCTCAACTACAGCAAGCACTGTCGAAGAAAAAGACCGAGGAAACCCAAGGGAGTCTGCTACTGCCAACGGTGGGCGTTTGCTCTGCGAGGGATCAGTAGGGGGGAGTTCGGGCTAGTAAAAGTATTGTGCATGCACCCTCAAATGGTCAAGTAGAGAAATTATCAGTGTAGTGTTGGCGGCCAGAGAAATAAGATGTTGAGGACGTAAACACGCAGACGTCAACAGGGGGACGATGAAGTTTCTGTTTAGTGGTATAGAAGAGTCATGCTGTGTTCCCTGTGGTTTTTAGCAGATGCACTGATTCACCCATATTATTGTCGATGGGTTCTGCTGTGTCTGCATATGTCTATTTTTTATCTTTATTTGCTCTTTCTTTTGGCGAATGCTTTAACTGGACAAAGTTGATATGTGTGCTATGCTGTGTTCGAATCTCAGGGAATGGATCTGTAGCAGAAGAAAGGACCGTCTATGCTTCTGCTGGTACTGGCAGTGATAGCATAATCCCATTAAAGACAGGACAACGCGCCATAGGAGAAGGAGCAGACAGCTCAATGGGGGAACATGACAACAGACAGGGAGACACAGTAAAGATTCGTCGCGTGGGAAGAAGGAGTGGCTCCCAGGAGGTGGAGAAGGACGGATGTATAAATGAGGCACAGAAGGATACTCCGTACCAGACAGAACAGGGACAGAACGAACAAGGGCTACACAGAGCAGGTGCAGAATTCAGCAAGCAACTATCAGCCGCCTCCGTTCAATATTATGATGGCCAAGCTAGGAGGAAGACAGAAGCCACCCAAGGGACTCAGCCTGGCCACGCAACCACACCCGCTTCCTGCAACTTTGTCTGGAATGGGAACGCTCGCTCAAACTCACGGTCTCCCAGGGGATATCAGCTGCATTGTTCTGAGCAGTCAGTGCAGCCGTGTATAACGCAGGAGTCTGGATACAGAAAAGTATGTGCTACCATTCTGCAGCCCACAGGGAATCTCCCCACTTGCTCTGCACTGAATGAGGTTGTTTCTCGAGAACATTGCATTTCCATTTGTCCACTTTTGGTGTTTTTATCATTTTATTTGTTGTTTGCTTTCATGTATGATTTAGCAGACTTTCACACCTTCTACGCGACGGAGGCCTGTGTACAACGATGAACGGGAACGATGCCTTCCATGTGGACAACTTGGATTAGATCGTCGTCCCCTTAAACATTCATCACTCTCGCCTCCAAACTCCCCTTGTGTGCCATATGCACAGCCTTTTCATACATCTTATCAAAGGCACTTTTCTCCTCCGCAGCAGTATCTACATCACATGCCGTACGCACCGCCTCATCGCAACACTGGCCGGCACAGTGAAGCCCTGTTTGATGGATCCAGCAGGTGCAGGAAAGGAATATCCCACCTAAACACTCCACATGCTGTTGCTCCACCGCCTTGGAGGGCACAGTCTCCTGCAGATATGCAGCTGTCGGATACACACCGCGAATGCGAGAACTCCAGGTGGCGTACTCAGGTCGCTACTGCTCACCGGTGGTCTGTGTCCTCTTCCGCGTTCCCCATAGACCCGTATAATGCCGAAGCTGGTGTTGCTTTGCCGTTACCTACCAGTGACACGAGTTCTCCTGTTCACAATCCAACAGCTGCAGATGAGCAAGTAAAGACCTTCGAGTGTCACAGTCAGCGGTTTTCGGATAGGCTAAGCTTCCCTCGAGATGACAAGGGGCGCGTTTATCAAGGTGGTGCTGCTTTCGCTCCCAACCACGCATGGAACCATTCGGGTAGTGGTGTACGAAGCTCCACTTCTCAGCTTGCTAAGGCCCCTGACAGTAACGAAAGTCAAGGATCTACAATAACGCTTGAGGAGAGTTTGAACACAACCGCTTGTACTGTTACTCCTCGGCCTTCTATTGGTCAAATAGACCAAGACATAGACCAGTCCAACGGGGATATTGCTCATATGCCTCATACTTCAAGTAGATCACTGACTGGCTGCGAGCTGTTCCCCGAGACGCATAATGATTTGCAGATCGAATACAAGATGTACTTGAAACGACGGCTGGAGGCAGTTATCCGTGGAGTTTGGAACTGGCGTTCTGAGTCAGTGAAAGACTTTTCAGAACATCATGAGAAGCCTTTTTCGGCTGAAGTTGCACAAAATGTGAGGGTTCGCTCTACCGATTTTCTAACGAGCTGTGGTTCAACTCTGTGTGTGGGTAGTTTGCGCTTGGCCGGCGTGCACGTTGGAACATATTTTGTGTGGTGTTCTTTACAGGCAATGTTGAATGGGTTCACGCCTTACGTTCTGATGCACTATGCATCCACTACAGGAGTAGAGGAAAGTCTGAAACCATTGGATATGTCTGTTCCCGGCAAAAGAAACATTCCTTTTTGCGGTTTCTCGCAGGAGTTTGTAGATTCCTTGTGCAGCGGCATAGGTCACGGCATGATGTACTATTCAGTGATTCCAGGTAGTGTATTTCCAATTCATTGCGAACAAGGTGGTCTCGGGGCATTCAATTTGATTGTTGGAGCTCTAATGTCCTACACTGAGCATTTGTTCCCTTGAATTCTTGCGTAGCTGTGGGAATGAACATCGTGCAGGGAAAGAATTCCAGAGCCGCTGCCTGTGATTTGTTCTAAGGCATCATAATGGCGGCTGGTTTGGCTTTCTAAGGATAATTTGCAATGTAAACTGGCTTCTAGTGTTGTGTGCTTTACTACGCTTCCGGAGTGAAGTATGCACTAACTAGCACAGGTTGCAACAGGCACCGGCCTCATGTGGCTCGTGGGAATAAAAGAGTGATTATCGCTTAGCGGAAGTTTGCCTCCACCGTCAAAGGGACCGGTGAATACCGTCGAAGGCTAAAGCCTTGCGACAGCAGCTGCTTTCTCTGCTGGTTGCTTTAATCGTGTGAACTGAGGTGATAGGGGTATTTGTACCAAACAAACTCAGAGCTCCGAGTTTTTGGCTATCAGTGCAACCAATACGCAGCATGGCACGGAAAGCAGGCATAGCCAGTGCTTTCTGGTTTAAAGCCGCTGGGTGAAGTCGTTGAACTTCTGTTGTAGATCCATAGAGGCGACAGCATGAACTACTGGTTCCAATACAGATGTAACGCGTTGCCTCAGGGTTTCGAAGGCTCCGGAAAGGTCGCTGAATTCGGCGAGGTCTTGAACGGTTTTTCCGGGAGAAATATCCTGGAGGCGGATGGCTTTGAGTTGATCCATCTTCGCGGACACGTCAAACGTTGACGCGATTAGTTCATAGATCTTGTCCATTGGGGGCAGCATATCCCTGACAGTTTTTGTGTACACAGCAACGGTCTCTTGCAAACTGCTGCTTCCTTCGCTGATAGACTCCGCCAGATTAGCGGGTCGGACGCTGTCGACCATATGGGATACTACATGATTCGTGATATCAACTTTCGAATACGACTCCATCGTTGCTTGTAAAGCCGTGAAACGCGCAGCTAGTTCGTTACGCGATTTGCTTGCCAAATCGGACAGGCCCTCCATTATTTGTTGAGGGTTCTGGGAAGTGATCTTGTCCATCGTATTCCTCGAAACATCCAACATCTTCGGGAAGTTTTGGCGGTTGTGATGTAGCGAAGGCCTCAGTGACTTCTGAAACGATGCAGATTAGTGGTTTGAACATACAATGTCTAGACCAGGGAACAACTTACATATTAAGCTTTGAAGGTGACGTTTGTAGACTTGCCTCTCAAGTAGTTTTATGTCTGAAACGAATTGTGAACAGCCAGGGTAGGCTGTTGCCTGCCGACTGTCTTGACACCTGGGCGAGCCGGATGAGCAGCCCGGCTGTTAGTGTATGGGGAAGCGGAACCCTTATTTTTTCTGTGGTTGCTACTAAGCTTCACATATGAAGGGGATTTAGAGATTCTGGCTGCACCGAATTTATTCTGTATTTCAGTTGCTACCGCTTCGCGTGCGATGTGTCCTGAACGCATTTGCCGACAACTCGGCAATTAATTTGTAGACCACTACAATTAATACCCAGTAGCAACTGTTATAAATACATAGTTAACTCTCAGTCTACTCCAGATAAGTACTTTCTGTATCAGGGCTCATTGACTTAGGGTCCAGTGGTCAACAGGCTCCAAGAGCGGAACTTCGCTCAAAGAGTTACTGAATAGATTTCCATTGAATGCTCAAATAGACCACAGTATTCTTTATTCTCTAGTGCAGCCAACTTGGCATTCGCTTGAAACAACTCATCTGCATGCACAGTTGAGCAGGTGTGTCCAGCCATCAGCATAGCCGTACTTCAGTGCATGCAGTTTCCCATGCATGTCTGCGCTTCCCTCAAGTATCCTAAAATACTCAAACAATTTTCAGCAAGTGGGATGGATGCAGGTTATTTTCATGAAGAGGGGCCTTGTTAATCCGGCGCTTGTGGGGGCAGTGCCGCGAAATGATACCCCCAAGGCACCTTGAGTACTACATGACCGAGTGGGTTACGGCATCTCTGGAAGCAATCGTAGCTCACCGGTTGTTCCCATTTATTGGCTTTCCCTCCTGTAATCCTGTAAATCTCCTTCGGCCAACACACATCTCCGATGAGTTGGCCTTGCCTCTCTTCAGCAATGACCGATCCATGTGGGATGTAACTGTAACGAATAACGCCCTAAGAAACGTTAGTACTTCGTGTAAGAACAATAGTGGACAACCCCGGGGTGCTTGCCTCCACTCGGTGAATTTTACCCCAGAGTCGGCCCGACATTTTCGCATCGAGATTCCGCAAATTGAGAGTTTGAGGGCTGCTCTGCTCTGTGACCCAAAGTTCAATCTGCAGCATTCATGGCAGCTTCGGGTAGTCGTTTCTTTACGCATACCTGTGATACGCCTTTTAGACCAAGTAGACTGCAGAAGCGCTTCTTCGTCTGTGCGGCCTCACGATGCGAAATCCATTGAGAGTGACCTGAATGAAGTGGACTTGAGGAGTAGGGCGTCGGCTGAGTACCCTTGCCGGGAACATCATTCGTCCACACTGAACATTCACGATGGCAGTATATTTCCAGAATTCGAAGGGAAAGAGTCGCCGTTGCTTGCTCCCCACTCATCTCCAGGAGAGAGCTATACGCATCACTGCCTAGAACAGTGGATCCTCAACTTCCAGCCCTTGGCGACATCTGACCGGCAGGCGAAGTTTGAACACAGGAAGTTGTGCACAGCTTTGAAAGGTTTGCTGGCTACGTTGCACTTTCTCCCGACTCACCCAGCACTTCTGGCTTTGGCCGACAACGAAAGAGCAAAGCACAAGCGAGGCGGTCACCAGCAGAAGATATACGTCGAGACCCACCTGCTCGCTCGTTGGCGAACAGGAGAGTCTCGCAGGCGCCATAGGAGAGCTCATGCCGAGGCCCCGTGGGTGCCTCTTGTTGCCTACAGATCTGATTTGGAAGACATTTTGGTGTGCCGCTCATCTGAAAGCTTCGCAGGTGCAGGAGCACAAGCAAACCCCAGCTGGTCCCCAACAGAGAACTTGCGTTCCCCTCCTCTGGTGTGTAACACGGCACGCACCTGTGTTGCAGGCAGTTCTTCTCAGCAGCCTTCGTATTACTCCTCTTCAGCCCTTCAGGAGCCACCGCCTGGTGCCCCTTTGACCTGCTCCAACGCGTGTACACCTCAACCAAATAGCCGCACTTATAAGGCGCCCCTCTCGCCCTCCCGCCGTCACCACCACGCTAGCATCAGTGCCCCGAAGAGTAGAAGTCATGGAGATCCACTGCCTACAGGTCGCGAGGGCACTCTCACAGTTCCATGTCTGAGCTGCGGCAGCAGCTGCTGCTGCTGCAGCTGCAGCAGCAGTTGTTGTTCTCCATTCGGAGGCCAAGATGTGTCCGGCAGCAATGCACGGAGAGATGCATGCGAACGCCGCACATTTCTTTCCCTTGGAACTGCTTTGGGAACGCTAAGGTGTACTGTGATGTACAATGAGGAACTGGCACAGAGCATCATTGCCTCTGGGGAGCTCGATGCAGCAGGGGACGTTTGCCTTGAGGGCTTTCAGCCTATAGCAGCCACTGCGGTGGGCGAGAGAAGAAAAGGCGTAAACAGTAACGTCAGCAGCAACAGCAGTAGCAGCTGCTGCAGCAGTTCCGACCCGCTGCTCGAGGGCAGAGTCACCGCCCCTGTCGGGGGTTCGGACATGTGGCTGGAAATGCCTCCAGACGATAGGGAAGCACCAGAGAATGCTTTGTCAAAGGCCCTCAGCGCGAATGCAGGCAGTCAGCATCCTGCTACGGCTGCCCCCGCCTTTGTTGCTGCTGGTGCCCGTTCGGCTACTGGTGCTGCTGCGGGGTGTCAGTTTCCTCCTCCTCAGGAAATTGCTACCAGTTGTGGTGAGAGAATGGGAGGCGGTATTTGGCAGGGACTGCTGCAGCGGCTGCCGTTAAAAAAAGCGTATCGCGCTGCTGCTGTTCCCATGTACAGTTTGGGTTTAGGGCCCCTCTTGGAGAGGTGTCCCCCCAGCAAAGTTCTTAAGCTTCCAGCAGCAGCAGCAACAGCGGCAGCAGCAGCAGCTGCTGCTGCTGCCGCTGCTCGTGGCCGTTTGAGCCGGCGAGGAGAGGAGGCGGCGGACCCGCGTTGGCGCCCCTCTGTGCAGACCATTCCTGCATCCCGCACCGCGGGTTCGCAGCAGAAAGGCACGAGTAGTAGCAGCAGTAGCAGTAGCAGCAACAGTAGCATCGGCAAGTTAGATTTAGGGAGGATGGAGGGCGTTGGTGTTGGTGTGTCGTTCAAGGGTATTTGCGGATTTGAAGCGGGTTTCAAGGGAGGAGAAGATGGCTCGTGTGTGGGGAACCCGTTGTTAGCAGACAGCGAAATGAGCAGTTTAGAAGAAGCTTTGTTTTTAGCCGAAGGCGCAGAGGGGCTGGGTGAGGGGTTGAAGGAGGAAGAGCAGATATCAGCAGACGCTGTGCAGTTCGGGTCTATGTGGCTAGATAGCGCACAAGCGAGGTTTCAAGAAGAAGCCTTCTGCGCTGCCAGCACCTCTCTTACTGCAAAGGAAAGTAGTGCAAGCACTGCACCACGACCTTGCAAGACACTGGACGCACAGGAGTTGCAGGCACTGAAGGAAGAAATCAAAGCATTCCTGGAAGAGGAGGCAGTTTCTGGAGCATCTTCTGCTTCTTCGTGTTCTTCTTCGTCCTGTTCTTTCTGTTCTTGTTCTTCATGTTGTTCGCATCCCTCCTACCCTTGTTCTTCTTATCCTCCATCGGTGCCTACTTGTGGGTCTTACTCCTCTTCTGTGAGTCTGTCAAACTATCTTTCCTCTGTGTTGAGAGCTCTCGAGTCCATTTCAAGAACACCCTTTGACCCCGAAGGAGCAGCCAACCAATGCGGACTCTTTGATGCGAGCCCTCTGGGGGCTCAGCCGCAAGACGAGGCAAACAACCCAAGCCGACCAAAGGAAAACAGCAAGCAGACAAATCGCACAATTACACAAACGTTCAGTAATCTACACACAGAAGAAAAGCATCAACAACAGCAGCAGCAACAGAATCAGCAACAGCAGCTCCAGCAAGAGCAACAGCAACAGCAACGGCGACGGCAAAACGTCAGAGGGTTGCCTTCCTTCATTAGCCTGGAAGCAGCGATGGTCGGTGCAGAGTGGCAGGAGAAGCGTCTGCAGCTGGGGCTAGAGCTAGAGAACCTCGATCTAAGGAATGTAGATCGCTGCTGCCTGCCTCAGAGAGAAATAGACAAGGCGGAAGCTTCAAACAGCAGCTGCAACACAGAGCGACCACACGGCCTCAGGTCTAGCCGAAAGGGGGACCCCTTCCCTTCTGTCTGTAAGACAAAAAGCAGAGAAAGTCTTCTTTATGCTTGCGTCTTCAAAACAGCGCGACGCAGAGGCAGAGACAGAGGCCACTTATGCATGTCTCTTCCAATTTGTTTGTCTGTGCTTACTCTTCTCGTTTTCTGTTTGTAACCCAGTTTGTCGCCGTATATCGTTGTTCTTTTGCTTGTGGTCTACCAATTAAAATATTGGTCATATAGTCGATATATCATCTCTGTACTGGATGCTATATATTATATATTATCGGTACAGTATTAGGCAAAACATACGAGATACAGTATAACATTGTGTACACATATATAATACATATGCATCGGCGTGACCAGAGGGCCGTAGAGGTTTTTTCTTGTTTTGCTTTGAGTTGCGTCAACTCCTCATTATGTTGTTGGTTAGTATCTGTATTTAGCCTCTGCTGTATGCTTTAGATGGGGTTAAATGAAGGCAAGGGCGAACATGTTGGTCTCTCTTTTGTTTTCTCTGTGTGGCGTTTTTGATTATTTACAGCCCCTCTTTGTTTTTACCCAGAAGAAAGCTTCATGACGCAAATGAGCACTAGAACGGGCTTCTCGTTCCTTGAAGAGGCCATAAAGGAGCTGATGAATTGCACACAGGAAGAGGAAACGTGGAAACAGCAAATAGACGATGAAATGGACGGAGAGAATATATCGGAAGAAGATACAGGATACCTGGAAGAAAAACGGGGGAAAAGCAATCAAGGCATACATAGAATAACAAAATATAGGTGCAAAACGGTAGAGGAGCAACGGAGAGGAAGAGAAAGAGACAATGAAATCCACAGAAATAAAGGAGAAACACAACAGGAGGCCACAGGAGGGCACACAGAGGAGGGATCAGATGGAGACCAAGACGATGATGATGATGCCCGGGGCGAAGGATCAGAGGGAGACAAAGTGAAGGAAGATAAAGCCGAGGATGGAGAAGTGGCAAACAACAACGGCGAGGAGGAAGAACAAAGACGAGAAACGTTGAAGAATGTCCAGGAAACAGAGAAGGCGGAACAAAACGAAGCAGGAGGGAAGCCATTTAAGCGACATAAAGATGTAGAGAGAAAACAACTAGGCAGCTGCGATAGAGTTCAAAACTTACAACGGCCAAAGACCAACCAGGAGAAAAAAGATGTGCTAGCCAACAATAAAAAGAAGCAAACACCGATGCAAACGCACCTCCGTGGAGTCCAAATGTTCCTCCAAAAGGAAGCAACAATAACTAAAAGGCAGAAGCAAACGCCAAATAAACACCAAGAGAAGGAACAACAAGAAGAAAACGACGGGGGCATTCCCGAGGCCTATGATGGCCATGTGGAGGACATGTGTATACTACTGCAGAATTTCGAGGTATTAATAAAATTAACTGAATAAATACACACAAGGATATCGATAAATGAAGCCCGGAGCACACCAAATAAATAAACACACAAATGCAGTGAAAACACAGCAGTAGTAATATAGAGAAGCATTCAGGAAGAGCAGCAATGATAGACGTTTTGCGCTCTCCTACAGTACTAACGATTCTCTCATTTTTGACCTTTCTAGTCTATGTTGGGGCACCTTACTTGTTTTCTTTCCGATTGTTCGCCTATGTTGTTTGTCGGTTTGTCATTTTATTTTCTTTCATGCCGGCGTTTGCATTTGTACTTTATTCACCCTTTTTTCTAGCAAGGAAATGTTGCTTTTGTTCTGTTTCAGACAATTAGGTAGGTTTGCCGTCCTTTTCAGATCTGTGCATTATGATGTACTGTATTTAATTTGCGATTTTTCATTGTTATGTACATTGTAGGTTTGGTATGCAGCACAGATGTGGGTATAAAATGAAAATATTCGGTTTTTAATCTGTATTTTGTGCGTTATTTACATTACATGTACTGTATAGAGATATATATGTATTTACTAATTGCATGCTGTGTAATACCTGTGTTCGTGTTTATATGTGTCATTGTTTGCGCATTTATTGTGTATGACTGTCTTCTTTTCATATCTCCAGTGGCCTCTAAATGCCCTTTATAATGCCTTTAGTTGCCCTAAGCCCCGACCGTACATGTACATTGAATGTTATGGGGTGGAATTTAATTGTGTGTTAAGTAATACTGTATATCTACACTATTTCCTCTGTTTCTTACAGGCAATAGAAGCTGCGTATTTGGATAGCGGCTTCTTTGGCCTCTAACACACGGGACAAACGCGGTAGCACAGAGAATATGGAGGAACATAAATAAACGGAACTGCTCTAGAAGCAAAGGGAAACACAACCTCTCACATCAACTGCACAGAGAGCTGGAATCGCACTGGAAGCAGCAACTACAGAAGCTGCACCAGCCCCCGCTTAAGGACAACATAAACACAAGTACCTGGCTGCTGCTGCTGCTGCACCAGCAGGACCTAGAGGAACAGCAGCTCCTGCAGGCCTGTACATATCAACAGCATCATCAGCGGGAGCTTCAGAAACAGCAGCAACATCGGGTGCAACGGATGCTGGAACAGCACCAGGGAGTTGAAGCTGTAGCGGCTCGACCACAACTAGCAGCAGCAGCAGCAGTAGGATGTTTGCCTGGACTCCTCGTTTGTATCGTTTTTGTTCTTCGCTTCCTAGCGAATGGGCGATTTTCTTCGCTTCTGTACAAACAATTTTCTCTTTCTCCTGGAAAATCTAAGCCGAACTTATCTACACGGCATACCTCTCTTGTAACGGTCGAACGGAGAGAAAAAGAGTTTTGCTTTTCGTTACGAGGCAGCGTTCAATTTGGTCTCTTCTAGATAACACATAACGGAGCTGCTTGCCTCCACTTGCCCCAGACCTCACCCTATGTCGGCGCGAAAGCAATATAGAGCGGTGTTTATCCGCAGGTAGTTGTAGGTGTGTATATTTCTATCTTGTACATATGCGCTTATAAATGTGTGTATGTGCATAGGCCTGCACATATGCAACGATTGATATCCATTTGTAAGGGCATATGCAGATATGTATGTTAATGTACATAATGCTTATCATGCTCGCTGACATCCTTATACGCTTTATACAGGCACAGGCGACCAGCCGATTCTGCTGTTATTCCAATTCCCACTGTATTATGGCTTGCTCTCACATTAGTTGTCCACACGAAAGTCGTTCATGTGCTTTCATTTCCTATTGGCATTGCTATTTGTACAATTAATTATATTATTCTGTAAATAGTATTACTGCCTCACATTATAAGTAGTAGTGCTCGTTATTCTTATTAGCAGCAGTGCTACCCTCATTCCTAGTATTATTACTATTCTTGCCACCATTATTATTTGAACTGTTGATATTGTATTGCACATTGATGAACCTAATAGAAGGTTCAGCAGCAAATACAGCCAGCAGGCAGTCTACCTCCTCTCTTCTCGTCTTCTTTCTCTTGCGCTGCCTGTGTCTCTCTCTATTTTTCTGTACGTGGTTAGTGTGTCTATATTGTCTCCATGTAGTGAGTTGTACTTCAGAACAAAAGGCGAATCAGATAAAGGATGTTTCCTGCTGCCCAGGTGTACATACACCTCAAGGGGATTAACCTGTTTTGGGGGAGAACAAAGAGAAGGGGAAGTACAAAATATGAGAGTAAAGATGCTCACAAGGGAGGAAGTAGAGGAGCAGGACAACCACTGTCTGTGCTCAACCAAACACCATCCTCGCTTTATTTATTGTGTCGAAGGTAATGCGGTGGGTTCTTGTTGTGCACCTCGTCTTAAAGCAGTAGGGATCGTCTCGTTGATAATAGACTGAAATATAAGTTGTTCGATGACATCTCGAGGGGACAGAAGCATCTCTTCTGCTGCTTGTGTGCCTTCTGCTGCTGCTGCTCCTCCTGCTACTCCTGCTTCTCCGGCTACTGCTGCGGCTCGTCCAGCTGCTACTACTGTGAACAGCAAAGACCCCACAAGTGATATACGGAGCTTCATTGTTGGAAGAAAGACGGGAACAAACCAAAAGTTGGCCAGCTGGGGCAGAGAAAGAGCAGATTAGGACCTGTGTTATTATTTGCAGAAAATCCCGATGGGACTGTTATAGTGTTTTCCCGTATGCTCTCATTTGTCGAGCATAACTACGGACATAAAGGAATTTTATAACAGGTGAGTTCAGAGGGGTTAGCCGTTTAAGCAGAAACGCAAGGAGAAGTTAGCAAGGAGGAGAGCTGTTAGGTAGGAGACACACACAGTAGGTGACAGCCAGGCGAACGTGGGGGGGAATTTGGAGGTGGCTGCATTCCACTCCCTATTGCAGCCTTCTATTCTCCAATGATTTACGGATTTTACAAAAATGATTTAAATTAAATTATTTGCTTTCATTGGCTGCCTTAATGTGCTAACAGGTTAACGAACCGGTAGAGGCTTGGCTCTACCTAACCATGCGGACAGACAGCTCCCTGTCTGTCTTTCTTGATGCATTCTTCTTGAAATTCGCTACTTTTAACTCACTTTAATTGTCTTAAAAAGTTCAAAGCCTTTCACACTTGTATTTATTGCATGAAAATGGAGAGATTCAAGGTTCTCGCGAGGAGGCGCCGGTGCAGGTGGGTGACCTCGGGGGGCTCAGCAGGGGTTTAGAGGTTTCTTTACCCACTCAATCACAAACTATTATTTTTTAATCAATATATTTATGTAAATTTCTAAATCCTGCAATTGAATGCAGATTATCCAGGAGATAATGCAACTGTTTCTCCAGCATGTAGGCACTTCACAACTTGAAAGTATTTGAATCGAGTTCAGCCTTGAGTACTTTTTAAGAAAAAACCCCTTAAACACTTTCCTTTTACCTGAACATTGGCTGCCCTCTCTTCATCTTCTCCTTATTGAGGGGGGTCTTGAGAGTACAGGCATATCTTGGATTAGTATTTTTGGCATATTGCAGTTACGACGCATGCATAAATAAAGCAGTAGGCCTCACCGTCTTCTTCTGCATGCAGAACAAAGTGATTTTTGCTTATTAATGCCCGATGTCGCCTCCTCCTATTCGTCCAACTGTTGTTGCTGCTGCTGCTGCCGCAGCAGCAGCAGCAGTAGCAGTAGCTGGGGTTGGCTCGCGCTGTGTGTCTGTGCCGGGCCCTCCTTTGGATCTATCCTTCCGTTCTTTTCGGTCCATTTCTGAGATTCACAAGGATGATGACTGCAGCAACAAGCCTACGGCTTCAGAGAGCTCACAAGAGGCAACAACTCCTTCAAATATAGAAACAGGTTCTGTATCGCTTGCTTCTTCCCCCCGTTTTTCCGTTGGCGCTCCAGACAGCCTCTCCAAGGGGCTTAATGTCTCCTTCCTCCCTGCAACTCCCGCAGCAGCACCTGCGTCCGGCTCCGCTACTGCTGCTGCACCAGTAGGAGCGGCAGCAACGGGAGCAGGTGGAGGAGGAACAACGTCGTTCCCTCCAACTCGGAAGTCGATTTGTTTAAGTCGTAGTACACGCGTGGTGTCAGTTTGCTCGATGGCTATGAAGGACGGCAGCGGAGATATACAGGCAGGAGACAGGCCTGCCTCGAAGGTCTGCCGCATCTCCCGTTACACAACAGCTGTTCGTTTGAACAACAATGAGCTGCAGGAGGCCCCTAACCTGCGGCAACATTTGTCTATGTTGCTGCCTATGCCACACGTTAACCTGGTGTGGCTCGATCTCTCTTTTAACAAACTCGCCGCTGTTCCCTCGTCTCTCAATGAGCTATGCAAGATTAAATGCATATACCTGCATGCAAACCAAATCCAAGATCCGATGTCTGTCCTTGTGCTGCAAAATAACAAATGCCTCCGCTTTCTCACCCTCTTCAGAAACCCCCTCGAGCTCCAGCTAGACACGCAGTACCGGTATGCCATTCTATTATAAATGCACTTCCGTAATTCTTCCTATTATTATAAGGGCAGTTCCATACTTCTTCCGCCTGTAAATGCAATTCCATACTTCTTCTCAGCTTTTTATACCATGCAAGTAGCGTTATAATGGCAAACCTTCCATATTCACACTTTCAGACATACACACTTAATTAGATGATACTTAATTAGATGGTACAGAGGAAGCCTTCCTGATAAAAGCATCAACAATTTTCTGCCCTCCCTCTGTCCAATTATCGCTTCTCCATCATCTGTCTCCCTGCTGCGCCTCCCCCTGTTTATGACCTCGCCTTTGTCTCTTTTGTTCCTCTCTCTGTAGCTGTCTCTCTGGCTCTTTTTGTCTCCGTTACTGTCCCTTTGCTGTACCCGAAAGCTTCTTCGCTCTTTTGTCCCTGTTTCAGTGTCTGGCTTGCGCCTGGTGCCGTATGCCTGTGCGTTTGTTTCGTCTACCGTTTTTGTCCTCTGTTGTTTTTTGTTTTCGTCCCTGGCTCTCCTTGATATTTTGCTTGTGGCTTGCTGTTGCTGGTATTCTTTTTCGGTTGTCGCTGCGTGTTGTTACAGCATGAATGTGCTGCATGGTGTAGTGTGGACCAGTTTAAAGTGGTTAGCTAGTGGCTGTTGCTTGGGATGAAAATGCACGTGTGCCTTCATCTAGAAATCGCAACAAAGCGCAGGAACTGCAATTAGAACCGCTGAAGTCACCATCTGCATCTGTGACTACTTAGGAGTTCTGCTGGGCTGTCAGTACATCTGTTTCTGTATCTTTCTTTCCTCTTTCGCTATCCAGGGTGACAATACTAAGTGTTCTTCCTTCTCTACGGTGCCTCGACTTCACTCCCATTTCCTCTGACGAAGTGGAGGTCGCGTGTCGCATCAATGCCCCTCTTACCCTAAAACGAGCTGCAAAACAGATGCAGATGCAGATGCAGCAACAGCAGCTCCTGCTGCTCCAGGAGCCACCGCAGCAACAGCAGCAACAACAGCAACAGCAACAAAAGCAGCAGCAGCAGCAACAGCAGCAACAACAACGGCAGCAGCAACAGCAGCAGAAACAACGGACGAAACGCCAAAGGTAGTTTGAGACAAGCCGTCTGCTTGAGAATGAGGACCCGAAAGAGAGTTGAAAAACAAACATCAGATGTTACATGCTAGCTAATTCTGTCGTAGTTGTTGTCTCTACCGTAATCAGCACATCTACTTTACTGTTGTTGTCTCCTATGCTGCTGCTTCTATACCGCCTCAAGCCAAAGACAGGCAAATAAGCTACCAGCTGCCGTATGCTGCATGCAAACAGCAATCGTGCTGACACCATCGGCGTCTGACAACAGGGGAGAGCACCAACCTGCAGCAAGTGCAGCAACGGCTGTTGCAACGACAGCAACAACCTCTGCAGCAACGGATAAACTGCCTTCAATGAAACTTAGCAGCGAACACACCGGCTTCCTGCGTCTGGTGCACTTGCAGTGTTGTTGCAGCAGCTGGTGCTGCTGCCAGCCCTGCTGCCGTTCTTCCTTCTGCTTCAATTCGCGCTGCTGCTGCCTCCACCGAGCCCTCCAATATCGTCTGTTGTCTTCGTTTGGAGCTCTCGCAGCCTGTCCCTCTATCGTATTTTCTATATCCTCATGCCTATTGTTGTTTGCATCCCTTCTTGCACTATTTGTTGCATGCACGGTTCGTTCAACGAACGAAAGCCACTCTAAGTTCCTTTCCTGCTTCTTTAGAGGCGTTCAAGCATCCTCACCTAGGTGATTTCTTTCTCCTCACCTATTGCCTCCAACTACGTCTATCGCATGGATGCAGGCATGCGCCGGAAAAGGCTGTTTTGTTGTTTAGATCATTGCCATGAACTTGCGGAGGGATTCCAGTTGATTTTGCCATGCTTCTCTTTCTTCTTTTGTCTTGAATCTGTGTACGCAAAAGAAGTAAAGGCAATACTCAGTTGCACGCACATTAACAGCCACTAGACCCGACAAACAATTGCACAAAACAACGAAAGGAAAACCAAAGTGCAAACGGCTGAAAACCAAAAACAAGAACGAATGCAGAAGCAAAAAGTGGAAACCAACAGAAAAAAACAATTGGTATCAAAGCAGTGTAAACTGCAGCCCAATTGAAGTGCATTCAGGACATAGAGATAGGTTCTACTACACAGACTATATGCATTTGCATTTATATATGTAGATACGTATATAGGTTTGGGTTATACACAACTATATAATTTACAAAGCACAAGCACATATCTATGTGTGCGAAATACACAAATATACTTATGCATGCATCTTCACATGCTAAACCGAATAAACACAAAAATGTAGAAGCAAATTAGTATAGAGGACTATTAGTATAGAGGATGATTTCGTTGCTTACGTAAAGGAGAAGGTGGTGGGTGCCGGGTTGTTGACGCTGATTGTCAGGCCCTTGGGGTTGTCTGCCTGGGCTTTGATGTTTGTAATCTGCAAATAAATAAGTCAGAAAGGAAAAACCAAATAGATAAGCAAATCGTAGACAAACAACAAAACGCAGCACACCGGTTCTCACAAAACATGAACCAAGGATCAAATGGAGTGGCAAACACAGAAACCAAACAATACAGCAAACGAAGGGTAGAAAACAGGAACAATTTGGGACCAGGCAAGGCAGAGTGCATGATTCTGAAGGGTCTACATCAAGAAGGAACCTGACTGCTAAACCCTAAACCCGTGAAACACAAACTTGTCAGGGTTTCACGTACCTTCTCGACTGGCAGGGATCCAACGGGCTTTGCCTTTCCGCCTTCTTGTGAGTGTCCTTTATACCATTCCACTTCTTTGCCGTCTCGAGAGCAAGTCACTTTAACGGTTGCATTCAGCAAGTGGGTTTTGAGTTTAACAACTTTCGTCAGAGTACGGCGGTAGGCCATCAACTTATTCTGGCGGACGTCGCTCGTCGTCAGCTGCAGCAAATGCATGCATTAAAGAACGAAGCACAAGAAATTGAGTACAAATGCCACAATAAATCGACTAAACAAAGAAGCAGAATCCACGGGTCACAGTACACATACGTACATACGGAGCGGCTTGGCAACTTGTACAGGTCAAATTAAGGAGCAGTAGGAGAAGAACGCCCAAATATACAAATAAATAAGTTGTGCATCAGCAGAAGGGGGACAAGTATAGTGCTGCAACCAGCAGCAATGTCCAAACATGCAGCAGCAATTGGGAATCTATTCAGTCCGCAGGGTTCTATAGTAGTAGTGAATTACTTCCTCATCTTCCGACTCGTCAAAGTCATCTTCTTCTCCATAACTGCTCATTTCAGTATCGGCTGCTTTGTTTGCATTGCTGCTATATGTTTGCCTCCTCCTGCTAGTTCTCTCTCCCGGTGCACCAGACTGCAGCAGAACAAATACATAAAAGAATCGGCAAATCCATTACTCTCGCAGTTAATTAGGGAGGAAATAACCCACAAATGCAGACACACCAAAGCCCCAGAATTGTACTATATAGGGGGCAACCCAATGGAAGGGTACAAGAACATGACACACACAATGACAGAAAAATAAATCGATGTGCCGGACGAATAAAATCATTACGCATATTACTCAAATTAAGAAATTATCAACAAAACAAATAAATAGGCGTATAAGCAAAGAAATTAGTACATAAATTAAAAATATAGTCGTACAAGCAGACACAGGGACACGAGGGGAAACACACACACCACGAAATAAGCAAACACAACAAACGAAGAAAACAATCTACCAGTTAATCGATCAAATAAACAAACGAGCAGACGACGCACAAACACAAAAGCGGGCAAACGAAAGAACAAACGGCGCCTGCACTGGAGGTCCAAGCCCATGACGAAAAATCGGAGTGTGCATGCAAAAAAATCGGCCTCATGCATGCACGGTGCTCAGAAATGGATAAGTAAATATAAGTAAATATATAAAGATATACACAGATACATGCGTATGCATATGCGTAGTGTTGTAGATCATTCCACAGCAGCAAGTGTTGGTTTGTGTGAGAAGAACATCGATATACTGGCGACACACTTTAGCTGCCGGGGTCCCTCCTGTTGCTGCTGCTGGTGTTGCTGCTGCTGGTGCTGCTGGTGTTGCAGTGCTGGCGGTAGTTGAAAGCGTGGCCTTGGGTTCAGAGAAAAGTGCATTGGCCCTATCGTCCTCTCCTCCTCTCTTCTTGGGAGCAAAGAGAGCCCCGTCAGGGGTCCGCTTGCCCCAGCGGTCGAAGCAACTCATAGTGTTTCCCATTGTAGGATTTAGTGTTCAGGGTTTAGTGTAGGCTAGGATTTAGGACCGATGGTACAGGCCTTCCGCGTGCAGCCATCAGCAGCTTCAACGGCGGCCAAACGCTGCGGCTTCTGAGTGGTCTTCTTTGGACCGTTTAAATGGAGTTAAATTGAGTAGGCGAAAACGTTCAAATAGGAAAACTACAAAAAAACGGGAGTACAAAGCCCTTATTCAACAATAACGGCCCGTGTGCCTCGATGCTCCGAGCCGCACTGCCTGGGACACAACGCAAAAAACCGGCGAGAAAAGTTCCTCCGAGAGTAAAATTGAATTTAAAATTTCATTTAATGCAGAAGATCCTTCTTAACGGTCGCCATATATCTCACAGCTTCGTAACCTTGTAGGAGCACACCGCCGTACTCAGGAGGCAGCAGCAGCAGCAACTGCAGCAGGAGCAGCAAAAAACGGGGCATGCAACTCTTCAAATAGAACCATAAATACCTATTATTCACTTCTTATTATTTTTCATTTTTGTGTTGTTACTACCTTTAAACAGTTCGCACCAGCACGTCCTCATGCGAGGAGAAAGACACCCGCTACAGTGGTCAGCTCACACGTAGCCAGCCGTGCCATATTTCGTGCCTAAACAACGAACAAACAATGGGAACATTAGCCTATTCAACTTACGTTTTACTTTAAACTAATTGTTTTCCACTTGTTTATAGGCAGAACCGCTTTTAAGGCGTTCGGGGTGATTTCCCTCCGCTTCTCCAGGAAGGTCAACGGCGCTGGATTGCCAGTTCACAGTGCTTTGCACACGAATATGAGTGCAGCGGAAGTTAACTTACTACTCTATCTAAGCTGTATAACTCGAACACCTAGGTAACTATTTCCCGTACAGGCAGGAAACGCCCTAACCGCCTCCCCAGCCACCCAACCCCCGGCTGCTCAGTCTCCTCCTCGCTCATGAGACAGTGCATCTGCTGCTGTTTAGCCAACGAGCGGGCTTCACAGCGTCTTGAATAATTAGTTAACAACTAGCCTGCCCGGCTAGCACCAAATGGAGAGAAAAGAACAGAGCCACATTGCCGCCGGCTAGCATGCAGCTAGCTAGCCGCACCCGTAGGCAGTACAGTGTAATGGGGAGTTAATACTCCGTTGGGTGCCTGTGCAGTTGCTATGAGTTAAGCACCATCAAAGCTCCTCCTAACGAGGTGTCTCGTTGCTGCTACATCCATCCCCTAGTTGTTCAAATGACATCTGCGCCTCTCCACCTCTAAATAAATATACATATTGTATGTAATATGAACAATGTATATAATATCTAGAACAGAAAGCCATCGGAGAGGCACAGAGACGCCCGGGGCCATAAAAAGGATGAATGCAACGAGCAGGTAACGGGGGCACGAAGACGAGTTGAAGGAAACTAAAATAATGAGAAGGTAAAACGATGCATCTATACAATGAAAAGAAGAAAGGGTAGGAGAGACAATACAGTAAATACAGTGCGACAACGAAATAACTACAAATACAAAGACAACTTCTTTTGTCCCTATCTCGGCTCCCTGGCGTCCCCAGATAAATATTCCCAAAACCTCTAGCTGCAGCTGCAGCTGTTGGTGGTGCTGCTGATGTCGCAGCAGCAGCTGCTGCTGGTGCAGCTGCTACTGTAGCTGCTGGTGTTGTTGCTGCAGGTGCTCCTGCTGCAGCTGCTGGTGCAGCTGCTGCAGCTGCTTGCGCAACTGCTGGTATTTCTGTGCGGCTGGCGTCACTGTGTGTACCTACAAGGGCTTAGTGACAGCGGCAAGAAGCAAATGAGAATAAACTTGCAAGTCAGCAAACGGCGGACACTTCAGGTGTACGTAGCCCCGTAGTCAGCGCTTGGTTCCTCTCCTGCTCGCCAAAGCAGCACAGCAGCAGCAGTAGTTCTATAACCATGTGAGCGAAAAGGATTGACGGGAGAGCATGCAACATTGAGAGCGAGGGAGACGAAGAACAAGAAGCAATCGGATAGGAGGAGGAGCAGGGGGAGCAGCAGGGGCCAGAGAAAGTAAGCAACTTAGTCTGTCCTTGCCTCTTGCCAACAGACAAGAGGCAAGGACAGAAAATAAGAAAGAATAGTAGAGAAGGTCTTATTATCGTTCCCGATACATCACACAGCGGCTTTGATTTCTGTTGCTTACGCGTTGACCTTCTTGGGCGCAGAGGCGTTTAGTAGTTGTTGCTGCTGGTGCATTTGCTGCTGGTGCATTTGCTGCTGCTGCATTTGCTGCTGTGCTGCAGAGGCTGAGTGGAGTTGTTGCTGAGCTTTGGCTGCCATCTTTTCCTTGTTTTTCTTCTCCATTGCTGCTCTCACTCGCGTTGCACAGAAATAACAATACCAATCCTCGTTAGCTGGAGGAGGCTGATCGTCTGTGTAGCCAGAGCACAGCCAGTGGTACCACTGTAAGCAGCCTGGTCACAAGCACACACAGCCAGCTGGATACATAGATAAATGGATAGATAGACACAACCATCGACAGTTCAATCGACAGTTCAACAGCTAGATAACAAGTTCTTGATATAGCCAGCTAGATAGCTAGCTAGCTAGCTACCCAATATGCTAGCTACGTTGGTTAGCTGGGTAGTCTTACAGTCGCAGCCGATCCAGTGAAGCCCATCCCCGGGTCCGCCCCCCGGCAGTTCTTTGTAGAGTCCATTGCAGATAGGGCAGAAGACAGGCTTTGCGTCTGCATCTTCTTCTGGCGCTGCTGCTTCTGCTGAGTTTTGCTGCTCCTGCTGCGGTGCTGCTTCTTCCGCTGCAGCAGAGGTAGAGACACCCACAGGCAACATACCTCCACATGCCCCTCCATACCACTGGGCAGACAGCATTGCAGCAGACGCGGACACCTGCGGTGGCGGAGGCCGAGGCATGCGGGGCCCTGCTGCTGCTCCTTCTGCTACATCTACTGCTGCGGTGTCATCTTCCCGTCGTCTCTTGGTTTCTCTTTGAGTGCAGTCTCCTTGCAACAGATTCCAACTGCGTTTGGTTGGGCTACTAGGCTGTTTAGGCTGGGGCAGCAACAGGTCGTCTTCCTTGCCGCTGCTTCCTGCTGCTGCTGCTGCTTCTGCTTGTGTAGGGCCAAACAAAGGGGCCCCCTCTCCACCTCGCTTCCTCTGGGCCTCTGCAGCAACAACTCGTGTCAGCTGCAGAAGCTCCTGCTGCTCTGCCAGATGCATCGGAGAGGGAGGAGCAGGCGTCTTGTTGCCATCTTCAAAGTCATCATCCGACTCAGCTGCTCCTGCTGCAGCTTCACCTGCTCCTGCTGCCCCTGTTCCGGCTGCAGCAGGCTGAGACCCTCCTCCCTTCCCATTCTCCACTGCTTTGTCCTCACCGCTGCATTCTCCTCCTGATGCGGCTGACGTGGAAGCTGCTGCTGCTGCTGTTCCTCCTGAAGCTGCTGGTGCTCCCGGTGCTCCTGGTGTGCGCGACGGCTTTGAGTGCAGTGGTCCAGCCAGCAGAATACCTGGGAGGAAGTTGTGCTGCAGCAAAAACGGAAAAACGTATGCCATTTCATGCAGTCTCTCTACAGCAGCTCTTGAAACAGCCAAGGGCAACGGACACAAAAAGCAGCAAGAGGAGCGGCAGCAGCAAAAATGATAACAAGGGACACAGTAGGGCAAATAAAAGAAGCAGCAAGAGTAAATAAACCCCAACAAGCATCAGTCGCAACAGCACCTTGATCGCATGCAGCAACAGCAGCAGCACAGCAGCAGCAGGTTTTGCATCTATACCTGCAGGTATTCGATGGGATTTGAAGTTATGAGAAACAAAGGGTCCGAAGGCTTGGAGGGTGAGGAGCCTCCCCGTGCAAGCCGGCTGTCGGCTGTTGCTGTTGTTACTGCTGATGATGATCTAGCTGCTGCAGGCGCCTTGTGGGCATTAGGCGGATTCTTCAATTGGGTCTGCGCTGAATGATGCAGACACTGCAACTTGTGGGAAGTGCCGTGGTGGCCCTCCATGCGGCACCCCAAAACACGTGCACAGGACACATGGAACCTGCAGCAGCAACAGCAGCAGCAACAACGGCAGAAAATACAGGTTAAGATATAAAGCCGCGGAAGAGGCAATAGCAGCAAACACTCCTCCAGAAAACGAGGAGGCTCCTGCTAATGCTGCTACTGCAGCCACTCTGCTGCTGCTACTGCTGCTGCTACGACTGCAGGTGAGGAGGACGTACACGTAGGAGCATCGATTGCCATTCCCGTTGTTGCTGCAGCTGATGGTTGCCCCTTGCTGCATACACAAAACACATCCATAAACTTTAAACCCTATACCCTAAACCGTTAAACAAATACCGGACTCTAGCCCCACAACTCTAACGCTAACCCCTCGCCTTAAACCGTAAAGCCTAGCAGTGCGCCCTAAACCCCAAACCCTAAACCCTGTTGGCTGACCTTTTGGCCGCAGTAGCAGCAAGGTTTATCGAAGGCAGTCCTCGCGATGCTGCGAAGGGACTCTGTTGGTAGAGCAGCAAATCGAGGGGGGACAAGTCCCTCCGCACAGAGACAATGAAACCACTGTGGCTCCCCACATACAGGGTCAGTAGGATGCGGTGTCCTGCTGCTCCTGAAGACAGCAAACACAGAAGCAGCAGCAGCAGCACATGAAGCGCACAGGTAAGCAATGTATCAGCAGGAACACACAAAGGGATTTAGCTGGTGCTGCAACGTGAGACATCCACATTCGCTACTGATCTTCCAATAGAAACAACAGCAGCCGCAACAGCAACAGCAGGAAAGGCAAAAGCAGCAGGAAGCGTTCCATTATACCCTGAGGATTTTTGTTCCGCCCTCTTAAGTAGGAGACCGTCAATTCTGCTGCAGAGGAGACAGCGGCTAGCAGCAACAGAAGGTAAGTCCCCTGAAAGGAGACACTCGCAGCGGGGACAGACCCACGGGTCTCCTGCTGCCTCCTCACACATCCCATTGGGATCGTCTCCCGATCCTGTCCCTCCACCTGCTCCTGCTGCTCCTGCTGCTGTAGGTTGCTGCTTCGTGCTGCCATCCTTCCAAGCCCGTCTACGCTGCAACCGCACAGCCCTTGCTGCTGCTTCGCTTATTAAGGAAGCAGACAGCGGCTGTCTTTCTACTGTCCCCCAGCAGGTCCTGCAGACCTTGACATTGCACAACTGACACCGCTGCAGCGGCTCCCCTACCCACTGCTGCTGCTCGCCGTGCCCCTGTTGCTGCTGTTGCTGCTGCCAGCTAGAGCCCAGACGGCCGCAAAGAGAACAACAAGGATTTCGGTTTAACAGAGACAAACGAGCTATACCAACGCCTTTTGATTCTCCCTGTCTCCCTACCCCTTCTACTGCAGGTGCCTTGCGACCCGCAGCACCTGCAGCAGCACCTGCTGCAGACATTGCAGTAGATGGCTTCATCGCTGCAAGTGCCAACTTGCCACTGCAGCTGCTGTTGTTGCTGTTGCTGCTGTTGCTGCTGTTGCTTCCGTTCTTGAGAGTTGTTCCTGGTGGAGACACAGAAGCTGCGGTGGTACCGCCACTAGGCGAAGTTGCAGTAGCTGTTGCTGCTGTTGCTGCTGCTGTTGCAGCAACTGCAGCTGCATCTTCAATGCTCATGTCTCGAACTACTGCCGCAAGGTGCTGCAGTTGCTTCCTGCTGCAGTTGTCGGCCTTTACACCGCATGCAGCCAGCAGCAATGCAAAGGCCTGCAGAAGGCAGCAGCGGGCCAGCAGCCGCTGCCCATTAAGCATATCGCTGTAACTCTGTGGGATTTTAATATCTCCTTTGTCCCCCTTGTCTCCCTTGTCTCCCTTTAGAGGCAAAAAGAGACACTGAAACAACTTTTCGTCACACACAAAAGAAGGGACTGCTGCAGCAAAGAGACATCCAGCAATGCGCGCTGCCTCACCGGCGTCTCCTACCTCAGCAACTTCAGGTGTCTCTTCACCCCCTGCTGTGTCAGTAAGAGACGAGTCACCACGACTTGGGAGAGAAAGACAATTCTTCTCTGTCTCTTCACCACTCTCCTCACCCTCAACAGAAGACCTTCTAAGCCTTGCTGCTGTGCGGGCCTGTTGCTGCTGCTGCTCCTGTTGCTCCTGCTGCTGTTTCACTCGCAGGCTCTTAGGGCGCCTCGGCTGTTGGGGTCGTTCCTTTTCGTCGGACGTGGTGGTTGTCCCTGGGGATTTCCCTGCAGCAGCAGCCGCAGCCGCCGCAGCAGCAGCTGCTGCTGCCTTTCCTCTCCTCGTGAGAGGACAATTTTCTGCGTTGTCCCTTTTGTCTTTCGTATTCGGGGTTGGCGATTTTGAGTGTCCGGCTGAGCTTTTACCTTCCTTAGGACTAGAAGCAGCAGAAGCAGCAGCAGCAGCAGCAGCTGCTGCTGCTGCTGCAATTGTACCAGGCTTTAGACGCTGTTCCGTTTCGCAGCCGTCTTGCGGCTCCGGAAGCTGTTTGACGCGCTGCTTCTGCTCCTCTTGTTGCTGCTGTTGTTGCTGCTGTTGCTGCTTCTGCTCCGGAGCTAGGAGGTCCTGTATAGCAGCAGTTGTTTGCTGTGGGGAGGCGAAGAGGAGATCTGCGGTATCTAGACAGAGTTTTCTTCTATTCAAGTCCGCCTCCCCCGGCAGGTCTTGCACTCGCGCCTTCACTCTTTCCTTCTCCCTATTTGCTTGGAAACGACGCAGAATCTGAGCAGCAACAGCAACAACCACAGCATGTGAGATGCATACTTACATGTATCTTAAGGTATAATATCCTGAGTTGTATATATACACATCTACAAATACCGTTGTATCTATACAGAGTTGATACACTATAGTGCATACTGAAGTCCATTATATATATTATATTATATTATAAATATTATAT